ACATGTTGCTGACAAGCTCAAACAATTAATATGTACAATAATATTTAACTAAACTGGTATAGAGTTTACATCTTGTTTTAGGGTTTGATAGAATCTTAATCAAAATTTGAATACTTTCATTTTTAAATCAGTGCAGTTGCTTACTATAAAGAACTTTTACAATAATTCGTCTATTTTTTTTTGCTTTTAGGCCACACTGATTTAATTTTATGGATGACATCCTCCGAAGACCCCAAAACTAATGCAAGAGGGCGAAAAAAAAATCCTGCCAAAAAAAAAAAATGCTATGGAGCTGTTACCGGTATTACGAATTGAACCACAGAACACAGTGTATCAAAAAACAACAAGTCTTAATTTGTAGGAGGCACATGTTGATGTACACATTTCGTACTGTATTACTGTCACAGGTATCATCACCTTTGATTTTGAAAGGCAAGAGGATAAGGCAGATGTTAGCTTTGCCAAAGGCATACACGTCAACTCAATAATAAAGAAAAACTTACTGTGTTGTATTGAAAAAAAAATTTAATTAAAAATGAACAATAAATTTGTCAACAGCAACCTGGAAATTAACATCTTTGACATTAAAACTATAGTTTTTAAAATGACACTTCAGATAGAATAAGTGTAGACACAAATGCTCTAGAACTACTTCAACTATGTAACAAATTATAAAAGGCTCGATATTGAAAAAAAAACACCAACAGAGAGTCAACAAAAATTTGAATGCAGAAAATTGATGAAAATTTGTCATATGATCAAAATATTACTGACTGTGCGTGCAAGCAAATTATCCGAATCAGAAAATGAAAACAAAAATAATAAGAAACTTTTCTTCACCCGAAAGGGGACTTCGGCCAAGGAGCTTCCGCTGCTTTTGTTGCAGTTTTGTCGACTTCATTGCGGACAAAGCAACCGAACTGACTTGTCGCCTGGCCGACTTTTAGGTCACCATACACTTCCACTTCTCTCCCATTTCTCTCATCGTTGCAGAAGAAACGCGGGACAGCCACTCTGGATAATATGTCCTTAAAATTGTCTGAGCGAAACTCGCTTGCCGCTACCGATCTCTCATATGGCTGTGTAAACGTCGCATTTCCCTGGCCAACGTCAATTGCGTACCAGTCTACAACAATCCCTCCGTTTGACCTCTGAACTTTTATGCTCACGAATTTTGGTGGTGTGGTCGTCATGTTGGATCATTTATGACAAAATTGGCATGTTTCGACGCAATCTCCTTCCCATAGGTCTTTGCGCTTTACGTAACGCGCATCTAACTGTGCGGAGTTTGGTTTTTGAGGTAGTCCAAAACGAGTATTACGACAAGTCGGCGCTTTGCGACAATATGAGTCGGCAAGTTCCGGACAGAAAACCGATCTGTGGAGTCTCGTCGTCGGAGATTTTTTTTTTTTTTTTGAGAACAGGCGAAAACTAATGCGCGCGCGGGTGTCATCCATAAAATTAAGTCGATGTGGCCTTACCGATTATAATCTGTTCTAGCATTATCCTTCACAGAATTTTGAAACAAATTTGACGAAAGATATATTTTTTTGGCACCTGTTTTTTGGCTTTTCTATTGACATATATTACACTGCTGAATTCTATTCTTGTTTTGTAAATATATGGGGTAGATCACACGGCAAGGGCATCCCGCGAAAGTAGGCGGGTCACACCTAGAGCGACCTGTCCCCCGGCAAAAATTCGTCACAGACTATGGTAGCTGTGGAACCCGACGTCACTCGGATTCGTTATTTTCCTTACTCATTAGTTTAAGGCATGAAGGTCAAATGGGTCCGGAAAAGAAAATATAATAAACTTTCCAAATAACTAGACACGGTGAGTAGCCGACCATGATATCGATGCTTAATTATTTGTTAACGTAAATGATACAGGCATGCTGTAATGGTCAATGAAACTAATTATATATGTGTAGTCAATTAAATATTGTAAACATCATGATATAAATAGCGGTCAATAACGGGGGTAGAATGAAATCATTATTTACCCATAGGGCTTTGCGAGATTAACAGATGCAAATCACTCCGATAAGTGCGCCCTCAAACGCAAAACAATACATGAAGAAAACTCGTACCTTGTCCTCTTCGCGTTATATTCCTTGTGATCAGAGAACGGTACGATGCGTTCTTTTTAAAATAATTAGATACAGGAAAAATTCGACAAAATTCATTGAAGTTTAGACTGAATGTTTCATACGATAATAATTACTTTAAAGTTGAACTCTGAGATAATCCACACAGCTTCATCTCATCAACTAGATTTGTGTTTTTCTTCAGTCGAGCAGGGAAAACCTCCACAAAAACAGGCTCCGGGGGTGTGTGCAAAACTGTGGACACAAGTCACATTTGGCAGATTCCCTTCACAACATACAGGTTGTATATATATTGCATTGGGACAAGTCGCCATGTGCAGTTCCTGCACAGTGGGATGTTTGTGAACTGTTTGATATAATTTAGGAAAAAAATTGTGAACAATCTGTCTCAACAGAAATTAGGGCCCCCTCACCCATAACTCCAATCCTTACTCTGCCCCTCCAGTTCTCCCCGTCCATTTTAATTGTATATGCCCCAGTTCAGAACATGTATGGTTATCTGGAGGGGCATATACAATTACATTAGGGGGGCTGTAGTGTTATGATTGGGGTTTAGGTTAGGGATGGGGGGGGGGGCTTAAGGAACACTTTCCCACTTCATTAACGGTGTTATATAATCATAATAGTTGAACAAAAATTATAATTGTGGCATTGTGATTCTCTAGGGTTCATGGTTTTACTTTATACATTACAATGCAATAGTTTGGTATGATATATAATAACATAATGTAATAGATTGATATGTAATGTAATGATTTGGTATACAATAATGTAATCTAATGGTTTAGTATGGTGATGTGGATTATTTTATATTTTAGATAAAACTGCACCAGAGTAATTTATTTATCACTGATTTTTCATGAACTGGATGCAAACCATTGGGGGGGGGGGGTAAGTAATTTTACTAGAGTTCTGATGAATATGATTATCTATAAAGTATGTTATGTTGTTCAATGTAATAATCTCACTAATCTCACATAATAGTCTCATGTGATAATCTGGATTGACACTATAATAAATATAGTTTGCGATTTTTCTAATATTCCTGTTATACTGGCCTCAATGTTAGAAACATAGGACACAAACTGAAGAAATAATGTTGTGCTTTTAAATAACAAGGAAATGACAACATAATACTTGAACTTGAGAGTATATAAATCAAAAAGTGATTGTTGATTTATATTTTAATAAGGATTTGTTACTATGGTAATATTGTTTATTTTCACATCTCAGTATGATTGCCAGACACAAGGGAGACTACAAGTTTTCAAAGTCTCTCTCGCTGCAAGCTGTTCTCATAATGATAGGGAACGGAAACTGAGAGTAGACTGATGCATGTATTTAATTTTTTATAAGAATGAAGAAAAAGGTAGGATTGACATAATCACTAAAGTATGAATACTGATTATTGCCGTAGTCCAGGATATAATCATGGCACAATTATTATTATTATGAAGAGCAGTAATCCACTCAACATTCTACATTATTAAAATTTTGTGTGAAACGAACAATTAATTTTGTTCCCAGCTCTTGGCAATGCTAATGTTTCTTGAAAAACTTTCAGGGAAGTGAATGACGTTCACAGTATAACATTTCAGTATTTAAATGCCCCCCCCCCCTCCTCAGAAAAATGAATGACAGCACTGCAATTTTCTTTTCAATTTGTTTATTGAAACAAAATAATCAAAGAAAGCTTAGAAAAAACTCCC